GGGAGAAGGGGAGGGGCTTCTAATGTCCTGGCCCCACTGGTGGACCTCCTGATGGCACCTGGTATTTCTGGCCACTGTGTGATACAGAGTGTTGGACTGGAGGGGCCATTTGGCCTGATCCAACATTGGCGTCTCTTATGTTCTTAAACCCAGGAGCTCTTACCGTCATGGCCCCAGGACATGAGGACATTCTCCAAGCCACAGTTAGGCGGGTAGATTCCATACGTGGAGCTGCGCAGGCAAGAGAGAGAGAGAGTGGATATCTAACCCACATCAGACCTTCCCTTCACCCTTTTTCTACCATGCGGTCTGGGGGCTGTGAGCTGTAGGTGAAGGAGAAGCCCCCATGCCCCTTGGCTTTTCGTGCTACCCCAGAAACGTCGATGGGATCTGGTGGGTTATCATGGGGAGCCGAAAAGGGTATCCGGAAGTGGAACATGAAACTTGGGATGCAGGTCTTGCATTGCTGGTGGCACTACTCATCAGAAGGACTGTCTGCTCCTATACATTCCTGCCCAGGAGTCAAGATCACGGGGAGAGACCCTCCTGAGTGTCCCACCCAATCAAAGACGCTCATCTGATGGGCACATGAGACAGGGCCTTCTCGGTGGCAGCCCCACGATCATGGAACAGCCTCCCAAGGGAGGAGCACCTGACCCCCACACCTTCGACCTTCAGGAGGCCGTCGAAGATGGTTTTATTTAGGACTGCGTTTGGCCGGTTTAGTTCTTATTTATTTGTAGTCTTAATCGGAGATTCTAAATTGTGGTCTTTTGTGCTCTTCGTAACCGTCATTTTATTTCTATCTTCCACTGCCTTGAGTTCTGCAAGGGAGAAAGGCGCCTGATAAATGTTTTCAAATAATGGATAGGCCTTTTGGAGGAAAGGTGGATAGGTATGAAAGAATAGGGATTAGAATCAGAGTTGGAAGGGGCCCTAGAGGCCATCCAGTCCAACCCCCTGCTCAATGCAGGACCAGCCTAGAGCATCCCTGACAAGTGTTTGTCCAGACGCTGCTTAAAGATGGCCAGTGGGGGGAGAGCTCACCACCTCCCCAGGCAGCTGACTCCACCGTTGCACAACTCTTAACGGTAAAAAAGTTTTACTGTAAAAAAGAATAAGATGTGATCCTCTCCTGCTAGAATTATTTATGCAGCAAGATGGGAAGCAGACATCTGCGCGCTATTAGAAGAGTGGAAAAGTAAACTTGCTGAGTATGCAGCGATGGCGAAACTAACATCTTGTTTGAGAAATAGGTCAGTTACGAAATTCAAGGAGAGATGGGGTGTGTATTATTCATATGGGAGCAGAAGAGAAATTTTGAATAAGTAGTTTAAAATTTTGTATGCAAATGTATTGCGATGAAGAAGTGGAATGAGACGTCGTTCTCAATATTAAAGGCTGAATATAAATGTATCCCAGCAAAAGTCATTTTTATTGTCTTTTATAGACTTTGGTCGAATCTGCATTTGTCTTTCCCACCGGTGTCCCAGACTTCTGACTCTGCCTTCAAAAAAACTGTCTACATTTGCTTTTGTTTTCACACTTCAACTGCATGAGTATACTTTTGCCTGTCTGCATATGTTTATCGCCCTCTCGTGGCGGCTCCATTGGAATTGCACCTCCGCACAGCTTTAAATGAATCTTCTCCAAACAACATTCAAAAAAGCATAGAGAAAGATGGCGTCACAGAAGCACGAAACTAATTTCAAATGCAAATGCAGATTCGACCAAGGGAGTATTGGGGATAAAACATTTTTGATTTTCTGTTTATATTGCATAATTTTTACTTTCTGTATTTTCTATTATCGGTTTGTCTTTAAAAACATTTTTTAAGCTGCCCTTCTGGCTTCAAAGCTAGAGGAGTTCTAGTTCCCTTGCTTGAAAGCCAGTCGAGTCCGACTCTAGGGTTGCGGTGCTCATCTCCATTTCAAAGCCGAAGAGCCAGCGCTGTCCGAAGACGTTTCCGTGGTCATGTGGCCGGCATGACTAAACACCAAGGTGCACAGAACGCCTTCTACCTATGTATAAAAAAGAAACTCCCACCCCCCAATGGTGGCACCGCAGTCTTCCTGCAAAACCCGTGCTTACTTGTATATCGGGTTCTTCATGTCAGGGTTGTCATGGAAGGTGGAGTCCCATAAGACAACAGAGTCCTGCACTTTGCAACCCACTGGGAACGTGTCCCCCACCACGGCCCACTGTAGGGGGAGAAGGCAGGACAGAGAAGTTAGTTGACCTGTTGCAAACCAGGAGACCCTCCTTCTAAGGTGGCCAACTCCATGTTCGGACATTCCTGGAGATTTCAGGGCATCACGTGGAGAGGGGAGGGTTTGGGAAGGAGGGAGACCTCAAGCAAGGTATAATACAGTCCACTCTCCAATTAGGGTTGCCAGGTCCCC